TTTCCGATATTTTTATCTTTTTTGATGTAGAAAAATTCATCAAAGAAAAAAACCACAAATACACCTGTTTCCACTATAAGCAAGGATAAGCGCAGAAAAAGTAGAGTTTGAGATACAATACTCCCAAATATGACTACTAGAAATAGTGAGACTCTGACGAGTTAACGCATCAGCCACAAAATCAGTCTAGTTAAAGATGTGATTCCACTTGATATTAATGAATTTGGAAGCAAAGTTCGGTAACCAATCATGAAGAGGCTTTAGCAACCGTTGGTTGACATAGTTGCCAATGGCAAATATCATACGTAATATGGTCGATCATTCCCATTTGCTTTACGTTAATCTTCGAGAAAAATAATGAACTTCCAATAAATAAATAACAATACTTGGCTACTCAAAGATGAGTAGAAATTCCTACTCAAAACTCTTAGTATTTTAATCACAGAGCTTTGTGCTTATGATCATAACCGGTCATACTATGAATCACATTGTAAAGATCATCTTTGCAAAAATAAATTAAAACTAAGGTCGTTTAGTCAATCTATTGTAGCAAGATATATATACGGTTCATAATACTTTTACCAATTTCGTTCATTTGTTTTTAAACTGTTTGATGACTAAACGACCTTAGTTTTAATTGATTTTTAACAAAGACGATCTTTATAGGTGATTTATAATATGAACGATTCTGATTATAAACACGAAATTTTATAAATTGACAACGAATAATTTTGAGAAATTTTGAGTATGAATCCTTACTCATTTTTTATTAGCCAAGCATTGTTGATAAATAAATCAATGCTTTACGAATTGATGAGAGATCATATTAACAAAACTGAATCATTTTGCTCAATAAAAATATTTGAAAACCTAAATACCTAATTTGAGTTTTCCTTATATTTTTATATTAATTTTTTGAGTAATGAGCAACCTAATTTAATATCAAATTCGTCATCAACGAGATTCAAATATAAAACCTCTTGCTTCTGTAGTAAAGAAGAACCAGACCTTATCACTTCTAGGCTCGCATGAGTCAAAACACCGTACTTCCCCCAAATTTGTTAGTCAGAGTCTTTTAGTCAGAGTCTTTCTTTCCATCCTCAACTCACTCCGTCTTCCCGCCGGAGGAGGGAAAGGAAGACTCTGCCTAACAAATTTGAAATTGTCCCTTTCATTAATGAAGCCTCCTTTGTTCAAAAGAAGCTCACTCCCTCCTCCCTCCTTCCTCCTTAAAAACACCCCCAACTTTCTCCTCTGCCCACCCACCAATGAACTGATCTCCAAAAGCCAAGACTTACCCAAAAATGGTGCTACAAACCCACATCAGTCTTTCACATCTTCTCTTGATCGCCTCTCTCCTCTCCGCCGCCGTTTCCGCCGCCACCACAATCTCACCAGGCTCCTCTCTCTCCGCCGCCAACCCAACCACCACCTGGTCCTCCCCAAACGACACCTTCTCCCTCGGCTTCATCCCCTCCGACCCCCCCGCTTCACCCCCTTCTTACATCGCCGCCATCTCCTACTCCGGCGGCGTACCCGTCTGGTCCGCCGGTGCAGGCAAAGCAGTTGACTCCGGTGGAACCCTCCAGTTCCTCCCATCCGGCACCCTTCGCCTCGTCAACGGCTCCGGCGCCACTCTTTGGGACTCCAACACCACCAGCCGCGGCGTCTCTTCGGCTGCGATTGACGATTTGGGCAACTTGGTACTCCGAAACGGCACCGTTACGGTCTGGTCCAGCTTCGACAACCCCACCGATTCGATCGTCCCCGGGCAGAACTTCACTGTGAGTAAGGTTTTGCGGTCTGGGTTGTACTCGTTTAAGCTTGTAAAAAAGGGGAACCTTACACTTTTGTGGAATGATATTACTGTGTATTGGAATCAGGGATTGAATTCTTCTGTTAATACGAATTTGAGTTCGCCTACTCTAGGATTGCGGTCAATTGGTATTCTGTCAATTTCGGATCCACAATTGTCCACTGATGCTATTGTTGCTTATAGTAGTGATTATGCCGAAGCGGGTGATATTTTGCGGTTTTTGAAGTTGGGGAGTGATGGGAATCTGAGGATTTATAGCTCTTCTAGAGGTAGTGGGACTGTTACAGAGAGATGGGCAGCTGTTACTGATCAGTGTGAGGTTTTCGGGTATTGTGGGGGCATGGGAGTTTGTAGTTATAACGATACTGATCCGGTATGCGGATGTATGTCTCTTAATTTTGAGCTTGTTGATCCCAAGGATAGCAGGAAAGGGTGTAAGAGGAAGATGGAGATTAAGGATTGTCCTCAGAGTGTGATTATGTTGGACTTGGAACATACTCGGTTCTTGTCCTACCCTCCTGAGACAGATTCGCCGATTTTCTTTTTCTCTGCGGGAATATTGACTTGCAGGTTGAATTGTCTTGGAAGTAGTGCTTGTGATGCGTTGACGTCTTTGTCTGATGGCACAGGGCTATGCTACACCAAGACACCAGGTTTTCTTAGTGGGTATCACAGTCCAGCTATGTCCAGTAGTTCATATATCAAGGTATGTGGACCAGTGATTCCAAATCCATCATCATCACTGGGGACTGCTGGCAACAAAAAGAATTGGAAGTTGCGTAGATGGATAGTGGTTGTTGTAGTTTTTGCCACTGTCTTTGGTTTGATGGCATTTGAAGGTGGTTTGTGGTGGTGGTTTTGCAGAAACAGTCGCAGCTTTGGTGGATTGTCTGCTCAATATGCGCTTCTTGAGTATGCTTCTGGTGCACCGGTTCAGTTCTCGTATAAGGATCTCCAACGCTCAACCAAGGGATTCAAGGAGAAGCTTGGGGCAGGAGGATTTGGGGCTGTTTATAAAGGCATTCTTGCTAATAGAACTGTTGTTGCAGTTAAGCAACTTGAGGGGATTGAGCAAGGGGAGAAACAGTTCAGGATGGAGGTTGCAACAATTAGTAGCACACACCATTTGAATCTGGTTAGGCTGATTGGTTTTTGCTCCGAGGGGCGCCATAGGCTTCTGGTATATGAGTTCATGAAAAATGGGTCCCTTGATAGTTTCCTTTTTGCAACAGAAGAGCAATCAGGAAAGTTGTTGAATTGGGAGTCTCGGTTCCACGTTGCCCTCGGCACTGCAAGGGGGATCACATACCTTCATGAGGAATGCCGAGACTGCATTGTGCATTGTGATATAAAACCAGAGAACATTCTGTTAGATGAGAATTACAATGCCAAGGTGTCAGATTTTGGCCTCGCAAAGCTCGTTAATCCAAAGGACCATAGGTATCGAACCTTGACAAGTGTTAGGGGTACTAGAGGGTATTTGGCACCAGAATGGCTAGCAAATCTTCCAATAACTTCCAAATCTGATGTTTACAGTTACGGTATGGTTTTGCTAGAGATAGTGAGTGGGAGAAGGAATTTTGAAGTTTCTGAGGCAACAAATAGGAAGAAGTTCTCCTTGTGGGCTTTTGAGGAATTTGAGAAGGGTAACATCAAGGGAATTGTTGATAGAAGGCTAGTCGACCAAGATGTTGATATGGATCAAGTGAAGAGAGCAATTCAGGTAACCTTCTGGTGCATACAGGAACAACCATCTCACAGGCCGATGATGGGAAAAGTTGTGCAGATGCTGGAAGGAATTACGGATATTGAAAACCCCCCAGACCCAAGGGCTGTCATCGAAGGGTCTGCCGGGGGAACCAGCATGCCTGTGAGCAGTAATGTCAACCCTTTATCCACTGCCGCAGAATCAGCCCCAGCTCCTTCCTCATTTTCATCATTCCAAAGTTCAGGTGTATCGCCTCTAACATCAGGGAGGAATACGGAGAAGGCAACTGCATCCCTTATACAGTCAGACCCAAATTGAATCTCATTTCCACACATATCTTTTCTTCTTGTATTCTAGTTCTATTTATCCAATCCAATACAGTGAAACTAGGAAGTCATAGTCTTACATTAATTAAATCAATAAAAATTGTTTATATTGATATTATATGATGCTTTAAAGTAGAGCTTGCTATTAGACTCGGGTCAATTGTTTAATATATCAAGTTCATTGAAGATTCATAGTTTAGTTGTTATATAATTGATGTACTGAAGGTTCCGGTTTGATTAGTGCATTATTTTCTTTGCTAATGTAATACGCTTACAGATTAGGTAAGCAGTTCAGTATTCTTATTTTCACAGGAGTGAGGTGTTATTTGAGTTAAAAGTTTCTTTTCACAAGGGTCAGTATTTCTGGATTCATCAGTCGTATTGAATTCGCATATCTCCTAGTTAACCTTTTACTTATATGAGCTCTTATTTATGATTTCTGGAGCGGAATAAACCTTTAGTTTCCTTTGTACTTGTGTTTGAATAATATGTGTATATACTTGGTTCTTCTAGGTTGTCCTTGTACCCAATCAAGCTTGGTACTTGGTGGTTATGATTTCGTTTTCATGAAGGTTCCATCATGTGCATATTTCTTCCTTTCATAGTATTTTATCCATCGATTTTGTACTTTTCAGGAGATTGATGTGAAACACTCTGGCTGATTACTTGGTGCTTTTCTTTTGTAAAAGAAGCCTGTATCTCTAACCGTGCGTGACATGATGTAGCTGCTTTGCTATGAGGGAAGCATGCAGGTGGATAAGGAAAAATTATGTGAAGGTAAGGCTCCTTAAATGAATCATTCTTTTGAATTTTTTTGAAAAATAAGTGGCCTTTTGGTTTTACAAGGCATTATATTCTGCTATGATTTCGTGCAAAACCTTATATTAGTTTGATAATTTATTTAAAGTCCACCAAAGAGGCAGTCTAAACTACATCTACTATGACATATGACGGTTTAGACCAAATTTTGTGCTCCTTTTGCTTCGTACAATCTCATAAGCATTTGCAAGTGGGTGTTGGTGATATAGGCTTTTAACATCAGTTAAGATTGAGCATATGTTAAAGACTAATCACTAGAGTTTGGTTTAAGTGATTCTGTAGCCTCAGTTCTAATTTAGCAAGCTAGGGGCAGTTGATCTCCACTCTCCAGTTTCAGAGATAAGAGGAGAGGGGGTGGGTCTCGTTAAGGCGAACAGAGTTTATTTCAAGGTTAGTAACCAGAGTTTAATTTCTCTATTTGCAGTGCTATGTAAATATTATATAGACAGTGCATCAGTCATTTCTATACTGTAATAAGCATGATCTTCGTCTCCCTCTTTGCAGCATATGAGTCATGGCGTGTAAAATAATTATTGATGTAAGAATGTTCAAGTGCCTCTTACCAAGAGTTTTGTAGGCCATAATCGAGATAGTCTCCATGCCTTAAGTGTTCACACATACATATGATTAAGTTATAGTTTTGATGTACAGAATGCCTTCCATTGATTGATTGATTATTTTCTCCTACATTAGAAAGCGAGCAAAATATTGTCTGAACTGTGCAAATACAAGCCTGTCGTCGTTGTTGATAGCTACTAAGTCTTGACGGTGACTTGTTTGTGAGTACGGTATGCCTTTCTGAATGGAGTATGCTTTGTACAACATTGCTTATGTTTGTAAAAGGATTTCACTCACTCCTTGATTATTGATGGATGTCGATGTTATTAAAGTCATCATAGCATGTATGTTTTGCTACTCCACTGATGTTGTTTATGCCTCTGCAGAGAATCTGATATTTCAGAAGAATGCACTGAACAGACGACATGGCATTAACGGCACTCTTTTCCGCTTCATTATTTCATTTTCTGTGCTTCAAGAGTCAAGGCTAAAGTTCGGTCTTTCGGTGACATGATCCAAATGTTGACTTTAAACTACGGTCTCACTCTATTCTGATGCTGCAGCTCAAGTGTTACTCCTAATACAGGTGCCTTGCATTCTGAGGCTACCACGGAGTTTTCCGCTTTTGCTGCTCCTGCAGATGCAAATGCCTGGTGAATATGTCTAATCTATACGAAAGTCTAAGCCTTAGAGGAAGTCTACCGTCGACTCTCAAACAGGCAGCAAGGAAAGGAGCAGTGGAGCACGAGAACTTTTGAGAGAAGGGGGAAGCTTCTCTTCTTAAAAGTCAAGTTATTTTTGTTGTTTCAAGGTCTTTGTCCGCGTCTGTGTGTTTTCCACTAGCTGATTAGTCATTTCGTTTTAAAATCTTAAGAATTAGACGAGTGAAAGTGCTCCATTGCGACGTGTGATTCATTTCAAATGATTACGAGTATTTATTTGTGCATCCGAAATATCAGACTCACTTTATGAACAAAAATCTGAAGCCGTCAATATTAATTACAGTAATAAAATATTAATTAGGGAGCCTATTGTTTACTACTAAAATGCAATGCTTCCAGTACCAAACCACTAATCAACCTTGCTTAAATTTAATCTAATTGCTCCACTACAACTTTGGAATAATTTCCTTTTCAAAAGGAGATCGTACCCGCTGCACCAGTAGACCATACGTCAAAGTTCTTAAATATGAAAAAATAGAAAAAATAGTCACAACATAAAAAACACAAATAAAAGAGATGCATTATTTTGAACATAGTTATACAAGGACCAATAGAGTGAAAAACAAATATACGTACGTCTAGCCAAGCTGACTAGAGCATTATGTTTCTTCTCCCCCACTTCTTATCCCCCTATGCATGTATGTTCAAAGGTTAATTTGTTGATTTGTCTTTTGAAACTGTCAAAATAGAGTCATTCATCGCCAACCATAATGGCTCTCTCTAGATGCCCTCTCATTTAACCTTTATGTAGACAAAAAAGGATGGAAATGAGGCAAAATGGCTCGACTTTGGCAGTTTTAGGAGTAAAATGAGACAAATTCAATTTCAAGGACAAAGTGAGACTAAAAGGCAATTTCAAAGTCAAATCAACCAAAAACCAATGTCCAAATTCTTCTCCATCTAATTTAAATTAGATTATAATATAGTTTGATTGAGAAATGGAATGAAAAAAGAAAAATACAAGTCTTCTCACTTAGAATAATTTGATTTTATCTCGATTACGATGTTCTCGTCTTGGTTGGATGAAAAATACTAAAAATAATTTGTGTATAACAAGATTTTGTGCTTCTTTTAAGTTGGATTTGATCTGGACAAAGGGGATAAAGGTTGTCTCTCTTGGTTCTTTTGATGCCCTACTCACTTAAACAATCTTTCTAATTTGCTTTATTAACGATGTGCTTTTGGGTTGTTTTAGTATAAGTTCCTTTCCCTACCTAACTAGCTAACATTGCTCATCATCTTTTTCGCAAAACTCTCAACTCTCTCTCTCTCTCTCTCTCTCTCTCTCTCTCTCTCTCTCTCGTAAATGCGTATCATATTATGACGAAGAGTTATTTTAGGTTGACGAAATTTATAAATTAAAGTTGCAAAATAAATGATGTGTCACTAATAAAAAAAATAAGCATGTAATTAACATTTAAGTAAAAATCTAATCGTTAACTTACATATTATTTAGTTTACAATGTTAGTCTACATATTTAATTTTCCTAACATTACCCTATGACCAATGCTTACAAACTTTTCAATATTAAAATACTATTATTATTAATTATTAAATAATTACTATTATTATTTGGTCAATTTTGAAATTTCAATCGTGTATGATATTGTCATATATAATAGAAATAAACATTAGAGCGCAATAGTGGATATGTCACTTACTGCCTTCATAAATAAAGTATCACAGAGTGCACGCATGCTCATGCTTGTGGAGTGTACCTTTGTGTCTTTTCCTTTTGATTTTTTTTTACAATCGATCACAAATTTGAAAATTTGAAGAATGTAAACAAAAAATCTAAAATTCAACATGGCATAATATCCCAAATACAATAAGTTAGTATTACAGTCTAGAAGTAAAAGTTCATTTCACAAGTGAGAGGTTTATTTGATATTATGTGTATTTAGATCACCGGAAATCATGTTATCCTTAAATCTGTCCCGTGTTCCATAATGTTTAATGGTTAAGTGCAATGAGTTTGATGACGACTTTACTTTAGGTGTTGGCAATATTGTTCTAGGGGTTTGGTTGTTTTGGGGTGTAATATTTTTTTTTATACAATAGATATTAGGAGGTGAGGGAATTAAACTCAAGATGTACAGGTAAATATTTTAAATCAATTGAGTTACAAACTCTTTACAACTTATGTTAAAAACATCTAAACTTAAAAGGCTAACTGCATTTTGCACTCTTTAGGTTTGAGTTGGTTTTCAGAAAAAGGTTTCGATTTTCTCACATTACACTACGAGATTTTGAATCTATTAATTTACACTGTTTGTCTGTTTGAAAATCTAACATCTATTAAATTGATGATGTGTGATATGTGGAATTTGTTTATAAGATAACGTATAAGCCCATAAGGAATGAGTAGATGAAGACGGACACCCTTTGCTCGGGTGGGAGAGAGGGTGAGCCCCTTTTTACTTTGTTTTAATATATTTTATATTTAAATTATTTTTTATATTAAATTATTTTCTATGTCACGTCATTAAAATATGTGAGTCATGAATTTGCTATATCATCACTTAGCGGTTAAATTGACGGTTTAACTAACAGATATATGAAAGTGCAACAAAATTTAAGTTTGTATATCAGATGAAATGTTTTAAAGATGTTGTATGAGATTGCAATTTCACCTAAACCTGAGGAGGTAGAATATAATTTACCCTAAATTTAATGAACGATCAAATAGTCAGTCTATTGAAAATTTAATTTGACACAATTTCAAAACCTTATGGTGCAATATTAGAAAATTGATACTTTGTGATCTAGCTTGAAATTCAATAAAAACTTTAAAATGTGCGAAATGTTATTAGCTTTTTTTACATAAGTAATAAAGTGTTTCATTACCAAGAAAACCTAATTACAAGATGCACCATATGGGTACGTTTTTTCCAGTGACCAATTTCTTAGTCTGTAGATAATTATCACATAACAAAAATGATCTTAAACCTCTATGCAACCACCACACGAGACCATTGGAACCAAGAGTCACAAAGATGAACATGCCTAGCACCAAAATCCTCACATAACCATTAAAAATAGCTCGGCCACACAAATCATTGAAGCGACACAAACAAAATTTACTACCTAACCCATTCTAGGCAGTATAAACAAAGCATAAAATGTAAACTGAAAAACAAAAATTAGAGCCGATGATGTGTCCACAGAGGAGACCCGTGTACAAATTTCTCAGGAGGCACGGGTAGCAAAGGCATGTATGACCCTAGTTGTAGCCATGATAGTGCACAAAGGGTTGGGTGGTAATGGGATCCCTAGCCTGAGACCTGCATAAGATTTGATAGCACCAGTGATGCAAAAAAATTTCGCCAGTTGGTGTGAGTTATAGCTTTAGCAAGGACAATGGCAACAATATGTGCGGCAAATGTTACCAAGACAAAACCAACAACACACTACATTATCGTAACTCGCCAAAGAAAGTTATCGCTTCATATATGCACACCAAACCATTGTCAGGAACAACCAATAATCACCCCCATCCATTTACGTTTAAGAGCAACAAAATTGGTACATTCTCGTTAAGAATACTAATGACCAAATTCAACCACACTACATAGGATTGTTGGAGATTTCGTAGAAAAAGAATGAGATGGGAGGGAAGACTGAGGCGTGGAAGGTTAGGGACGGGATGGGAGTGAAGAAACATAAGGGATGTGGAAGTTGAAGGAGGACAAAGGGACTGAGGGAGAAAGGAAAAGTTGACAGATAAGTCACTTTTACTACCACTCTATAAAACTATACATAAGATTCAGTTCTTTTATTTTGATAATATATGCGATTACATGCTAGGGGAACGCCAGAAGGGGGACATGTCCTATGTCCACTAACTCTGCTCTTAATATAGTATAGGAAGTCCTTGTTTAAGAACTTACCATCCTTAGCATTTCACACTAAGCAAGTAAACAAGTTAGGATGGAGGCATGAAGGGATGTCACTGACCCCAAGTCGGAGAAAGGGGCCTGCGATTGTGGACTTCCTAGATCTATGATGTTGGTACTAAATTCGCGCACCATTGTATGTGAAGAAGATGCACAAACTCGATTACATGTAAAAGAGCAAACAATCGTAAGATAACCTTGGCCCCAGGTGAGGTACCATCCAAAAGCTCTTTGACGGTCAAGTTAGCAAGCAATTTATGTGACTCAAGTAGTAGGAAAGAGAATAGAGTATGTGATAATTGTGTTACCAGAGATTGACGCTAGAAGAGTATATTTATACTAGTCGAGAGAGAATTATTTTAGGATACATAATCCGTATGAAACCTAGGAGAATCCAAAAGGATATTAGGAGTAGGTATTGCATCATTTTATGAGTGTGATTACTTGCAGTCCACGCCAATCCTTAGATTGTAGGAATCTCCAAGAATATAAGAAACTTATCTATCTCCAATCGGATCAGGTTTCTATATCTTGCGAAATAAGAATGGTCAATCTCGGTGAAGTTGGTTAACTTTGCGTATCATTTGAGAACACAAGATCATGGTGGCATCACTAGTCCACTTGTGCAGCTCAATTGATAAGAGATGTTGAGCTCATGACCAGATCTTTGAGGTATTTGTATTCCGATTCGTGTAACTCTGGCCCTGAAAAAATCATGATCCCACATCGCGTTTTTTTTTACAAAGGGGGCAGAAAGCTTCGAGTGGGTCTTTTATAATAATTTGGTATCGAACTTGCCATTTAGATTTAGAAGAATATTACTAAACGTAATAGTAAATAATGTAAAAAGCCAAACTTTAAACCATAAAAAATAAAGGAGTAAATAAGACCAAAAAAGGAAAATTACACAATGGTTGAGCCAAAACCAACATGGTCGTTCCAAATGTTTCCCTCCCTCGCGCCTCTCTTTCATCTTCAATTTTGGAGATTGTTGTATTTTCTTTTACTAAAAGTCTTTTTTTTTTTTGTTGCAACAATAATTATAACGAAAAGCTTAAAAATTCCTTCTCTCTTTGCCTTCACCCGCACACTTAACTCCCTCAAAAGAAAAAGAAAAAAAGTTCCTTTCCTTGTGGTAACACAAATATATATTCCTTGGTGAAGGGTGATCCACTATATATATACACACACAATGTACACATACTACAATGGACGTGGCTTGTTTATGGGTGAACCACTATATATGTTTGTGTTACATGCACCAAAATGTCTACCATTTAAGGGTGATGAAGCGTGGGTCAAAGAGTCTTCCGTCCAATGGTGATCTAGTTCCCCTTCAAAGCGTCTTCCCTAAAAATGATGACACGGCAAAAATGAGACCGGGTCAGACAAATATCCATGTTAACACCTTGTCTTTCTTTCTCTTCTGCTCATCTACCTTGAAATTAAAATACCACTCACACCCACACGGGCTACACCCAGGTAGTCCATATATATACTCTATAGCCGCCAATAGCCTTGCTTCTACAGCTTTCTGAAATTTCATACAACAAAAAAATGTGATAGTTGATGAGTACAAGAGAAAGCTTATAAATACATCTATTTGAATTATATGAATACAAAAGAAAACTGGGCTAGAAAGAAACTGATTGTTGGTGATGTCTTTTCATATATGGATTAAGTGAATACTTAGTGTGAAAGATCATTTTCATCACTTTATGTGGTTACTATATTTGTTTTATCACTTGATGTAATTATTTATACGAGCTTTCTTAGCGGCCTTATTAGCAAGATATATCTATGCACCAACCAACTTGAAGACATTTGAACGGTATTATGTATGCATTATGTTATTTTCATGAAACAATTTACACGAGCTAATTTTATTCAAAAGAATCAAAATTTTCAAATTATTGGCTATGATGCTAGTAATATTTCAGATCGACGTAATCTAGATGCCACACTTAATATGTACTAGCATATGGGCATACACAAAGTGTGTGAGAAAATTTTTTATTTTTGTTTTTGAAATAGAAAAAGAGAGGAAAAGAGTGAGAAAAGAGTGATAGAGAATGTGGGAGTGTGAATTTTTTTTTAATTATAAATATGTTAGGATTACATGTAGGTGAGACTTAAAAAAAAAAGTGAAAAGTTTGGTTGTGTGAAATTACATTTCTGCCCCATATTTCTTATTCATGTTCTGTTTTAATTAGAGGGTTAAACTTATAATTTCATAAGATTTTGGTTGACAATGAGTGTTTTATTAATTTGTAGAGATATAATTAACACACATGAGCTTCACTAAAACACTTCCAACGCAACTACCACATTCAGGAATTTTTTATTGTGACTGGAACATGAGTGGTATGCCGTGTGTTTTTATATAAGTGGTGAGAAATTTTATTTTTTAAGTTATTAATTTTTTAATACACACATCCCACCGTTTGTACAACGACACATGGTGTATCACTCCGTGTTCTGGTCACATTGAAGAATCTCTTCAGAAAGATGGTTTATAACATTGAAATGTGTCAACCTAGCATTAGGGGGAGCATTAGCAATCGTGCAACAATATGCCAACCTTATATCAGAGGTAGCACATCGTTAGTAATATCTTCACATTGTACTCTTTTATCTTTCATCTAAATTTTTATCTCACTAGATTTTTTGGTCAAAATTTTAATGAGGCACTGACGCATGATTTCCTTGTTTTATGTTTCACATAGATGATAGATGTCTACTCTGTTAACGCTCAGAATTTGCAAGTTAACAAAATAAATACCAAACTCTTGGTGGGGTTGGGATATGGACTGAAATGAAATGGACTCAAAGGTTTAAGTGGTCCATCCTTCAAAATTGAGTTACATCCACTATGTTACTCAGATTATATTGATTTCAAGACTAAAAATAATGCTCGGCTATTATATGAACTCTCTCTTTCTTTTTAGTTGTCTGACCTTAATACAGGAGGTTCCCAACCCTTATATAGGCCCTCAATGAACCTACCAGCCTTGGGGGTTCCTAACTTGGCATTTAATGCGCAACCTATGTAGACTAGCATTTTGACACATTTCCACTATCAACCAAATATTCGGCGGTGAGGTGACATGTATTCAGTTAAAATGGCACGTTCTGTTAGAGTAAAGTGGGCCGAGTGTCCCACTTAGTCTTGGTTATCCAACGTTGCGTCTCTGAGTGCCACTCCGACCATTTTTAGGTCTTATACTGGGTCTCTGCCCTTGAGTGGGGGCTACCATATGGCCTAATTTAACATCTGGGTAGACATATTTCCAGAGACTTGTGCCATAAATTTGTTAGCCATCTCATATGCTCCTGACAGTCGAAAAGCTTTTTCATATAATAGTCGGGCTCAGCTTGTAGGCGATTGGCTAAATAGCACAATGAGCATTCTTTTCTAAATCCCTTGGACCTTGAACTTCTTGAACTTCTTGGCGCTTTTCATGGCTTCTTTCCCGGACCGTACCACTATATGGGCTTAAAACTACCCTGCATTAACAAGTACCCCTAACTCATTGGCCAAGGGTTTCTTCTTGGGCATGGAGTTGCAATGGTCGGTCGGCACTTTAAGTGGTGCTCAGCCAGAGTAAGCGTCTCGAGTGTTCCTGGCTCATCATTGTTAGTTGCTCGGCCTTGTCTTAACTGTCCCCTTTCTAAACAATGGCCATGAGACAATTGGGTGCCCGAGGCCAATGTTAGTGGCAGATTGGCAGAGTGATTGATGAGCCTCCATATTAAATGCATTGTAGGCAGGCATGGCCTCGCACACAACAATGGCTTTTCACGTCTCTTCTATTTCGAAAACTAAATCGACCAAGATGCCACATGTCACAATCTTGTTATTTTGGTGCCTCTTTTCCAATGGCTATGATCCGTTGCTCGAGACTGTCTCTTCTTTTTTTTTTTTAAAGTGAAGATCTGCCAAATTCTTTCTACCTTCTTCTTCAGTAACCAAGAACATACAAAAGATCTTTAGGATTCTCCATTGGCTTCTCTTAAGTTTGTCATACACATTGGTACTTTTCTTGGTCATGATAGAGTGCAACTTAAACACTATTTTAAAACTTTTTCTCTTAATCTTTAGTTGCTACCGTCAACAGCGTGGACTGATGCTGGCGAAGATCACAATTGTTGAGTTCTTTAATAATCGAATCAAGACAGATTGCCCCTCTAGACCGACTAGGTTCACGACATACCCGAGTGTGCACTTCCTACCACTAACATTTAGGACTTTGCAATTTTGAATAGATTGCCTTCATGTTTCTCCTTTTTCTAAAATTAAAATTGTTTGTATATATCGAGCACACAAAATGTCGACCACTTCAGATTCTGCGAACGATGGCCAAAAAGCCCAAGATTATGAACACTTGGTTGGTGAGGTGACATGTGTTTAATCGAAAATGACGCTTTCTATAAGAGTGATGCGGACCAAGCATCTAAATCGACCTTAGTTATCTAACCTTACTTCTCCGAGCATTGCTCCGACCACATTTACATCCAATCCTAGGTCTTTTCTCTGTGGCCTAATTAACATCTAAGTAGATCTGCTCCTGAAGACTTGTGCCATAAAACTGTCAGCAGACCACGTGTGCCTGGCGGTCGGAAAGCTCTTTCAATATCCTAGTTGGGCTTAGCTTGTAGGCAGTCGACTATAGCATTTGGGAGCATTCTTTTCTAAGCTCCTTGGACATTGTGTGTCTTGAACTTCTTTAGGCTTTTCATGGCTTCTTTCACGACCTGCACCAGGCCTAAAAGTACTTTGCATTAACATATTCTTTTCCTTTGTTCCATTGAATTTATTGACATAGTGTGACATTCAAGCTGAATATTGTAAATTCATAGGTTAATACCATAAATTTGTTTTATAACGTACATTTATTTAAGGTAATGAATATAAATGAGTGCTAAATACTCATGGTTTGTAAGTCTATAAGAGCAACTCCACCCCTATCCACTTTGCGCTAGCACCCAGCCCATTTATCCACTTAATTGAACAGTAACAGACTCAATGAACAGTAATAGGCCAAAGCATCTCCACCCCAAAAAAAAATGTGCTGGCACCTAGTCTAAAAATGCGCTGGCACAAACGATCTCCACCCTTACAAAATGCGCTGGCACCCAGTCCATTTAAAATATTAAATAATTTTTTTATAAAATAATAAAAAAAAATAGTTTTAATTTCGGATAGGATTTTTAACCAATCTCGTCACGCCACGTGTCATTATCCGAACGTACTATTTTTTGAATAGATTTCCGCTAAGATTTTCAACCAATCCCGACAACGTAACATCTTCACTGAGCTTCCACGAAGTCATTTTTTTCTCTCAAAGTGTACAAAATATTCAAATGTAGAAAGTGTAGAAAGTGTAGAAAATATTGAAATGTGGTGTAAGGTGGAAGATGAGGGTTAGGTATTTATAGAAAAAAAAAATTAATTTTTTAAAATTTTTCTGTATTTTTTTTAAAATTTTTGACATTTTTTAATTAATTTTTAATAAATTTTAATGTTGTAATTAATCGGGACCGTTGGATTTGAAAAATAATCAAATCCAACAGCCAACACGATGCCACGTGGCCAACGGTCAAATTTCTGACCGTTGGGCCTTTTTTTTTTTTTTTTTTTTTAATTTTTGGTGAAATAAACGTGGACCGTTGATCTGTGATCGGACGGTCCAATTTAAAATTTAAATTTAAATTTTTTTTACCGTTGGAAATCCAACGGCCTAAAAAACTAGCCGTTGGAAATCCAACGGCTCTGAGGAGGCCACGTATCCTTCACCCCGGACGACTGCAAGTGGACTGGAACGCGGGCCCCAGCGCCTGCACAGCCTGTCGGCTACGCGCCCAGGGCACCGCGTGTGTTGCACGCGCTAGAAACAGACCGGCTCATGGGTCTGTCCATTTTGGGCTGGGTTGTTGACTGGCACGGGCTGGGTGCCAGTCAAAATAACACCCTCCAAATTCGAATGATGAACAATTCATAATTCTTCTGCATGTCCATCTTTTTTATACCAATAGGATATTCTCCGGACCTTTTTGATGAGGATCTTAAAAATTCATAAATTGTGTCTATTTATCGTGTGATCAATTTTTATAAAATATTATTTATATTTAATTTTAAATAAAAATATTTAAAATAATCTCTCCATCCGTCTCCGTCTCTCCCACTCACTCCCTCTAAACAAAAGAAAAACGATACTTTATACGGTCTCTCTCTCCTCCCTTGTAAGCCTTTAAATTAAAAGCCCCACCAACGCCCAGACAGTCTAGACTCCCACTCCATAGCCCCCAATAGCCCTGCGTCTTCTTCTGCCTCCTCAACATTCATATCAACCCAAAAAAGCAACCCCCGTTCCCAACTCTCTCTCCTCTCTCTGCATTTTAAGCATTGACCTTTTCTCCTCCATCACTCCTGACTTCCTTTTTCTGCCCTCTGCAGTCACTGGTTATAAAAGCTAACAAAAAAGTGAGTTTTTCCCTTGATTTCTCTTCAATCTTTGGCTTTCTTTTCTGTTTATTTCTCCAATTGATCCGCCTAGTAAGGTTACGACTCCAAATCTCTATTGGGTTCCATTTGGTTTAAGTTTAACAACTGTTTGATTAAACGCTTTTTTCCGAAAGAATAAAAACACCATTTTCTTGCGCAGTAAACACAAATGGCAGAAAAGGACCCGGATATTTGCTCGCACAAGTTCCCTTCTGCTTCTCAGGTACTAATTTAACCAACCCATATCGTCAAATTTCCATTACTTGTCTCTCTGTCTTCAAACATGTACTTTTGTTTATTTTTTACAGGTGTGGGAAGAGCTGAGAGAGCTATGGGGGATGGCGTTTCCCATAACGGCCATGAACTGTTTGGTGTTTGTCCGAGCCGCCGTTTCAGTTCTATTCCTGGGCAGGCTTGGAAGCCTAGAGCTAGCCGGTGGTGCACTGTCCATCGGCTTCACCAACATCACCGGATACTCTGTCCTGATGGGACTAGCATCCGGCCTCGAACCTGTTTGCAGCCAAGCATTCGGCAACAAGAACTATGACCTTCTCTCCCTCTCCCTCCAGCGCATGGTTTTAATCCTACTCCTGGCCGTAATCCCCATCAGCCTCCTCTGGATTAATCTCCAGTCCATCATGGTTTTCATGGGACAGGACAAGGCCATCACTGCAATGGCTGCCACCTACTGTTTGTATTCTCTCCCGGACTTGTTGACAAACACGGTCTTGCAGCCTTTGAGGGTTTTTCTGAGGTCTCAGAAAGTGACCAAGCCCATGATGTATTGCTCTCTGATAGCCGTGGCGTTTCACGTGCCGTTGAACGTGGTTTTGGTGGTGGTGATGGGGCTGGGAGTGCCGGGGGTGGCCGTGGCATCGGTGCTGACGAACCTGAACATGGCGGTGCTGATGGCGGGGTACGTGTGGTGGGGTTGGAAGAAGGGGGAGATGAGATGGACGTTTGGGATTGGGGATTTGTGCAGTGGTATTGGGCCGCTGTTGAAGCTGGCGGTGCCGAGCTGCTTGGCGATATGTTTGGAGTGGTGGTGGTATGAGATTGTGACTGTCATGGCTGGATATCTGCCGAATCCTACGCTGGCGGTGGCCGCCACCGGGATTCTTATTCAGACCACTAGCATGATGTACACTGTCCCTTTGGCCCTTTGTGGTTGTGTTTCTGCCAGGGTAAGTTCCCAACTTCCTTTTTATTCCCTTTATCAATTTGTCTCTTTACTTTGGACGTAGCGATATTTTAAACTGCCCTAGTTTACGGGGGGCTGTTTACGGACGGAAAATTAAACTCCAATGCAATGTGGTGGGCACTAGGTAATAAATTGATTGGTCTAACTCACATATGCGCTCGATAGTTTATTGTTATCTTGCTTGTTTTTCTTGCAGGTTAGTTTGTTTACCATTTCAGTTGCACACGTGTCTATACTGTTCTTTCCTTGCTTTTTAGGCAACCTGGTACGAGAAGGAACAAAAGGGACAAAATTAATCTTAGATCGAAGTAAACTAAATGAGTTGTTATTGGCACTCTCGAAAAGTCTACATGCATGATGTTTTTTAGAATTGGCACTCCCAATAACAACTCTAGCATTAGAGTGTTCAATCCAATCAAATTTCTCTACTCATCGAACGAGCTAGCTTTAAATTTAACGAAATTACTTTCCCCAACATACCCTCCATTTCTCTCGACAAACACAAGTTCGAATCTCCTTCCCTTCCTTTACATAAAAATATAAGACAACAAGTATTCTAGTCTATACATGAAATTAGTTATGGTCTCTACAGTCGGTTGAAATTTATATGCGATGAAGATTTGTGTGAACGTGTATATCTAGTACCTTCTTGTAGTCTTTTTTTTTTTTTTAAGGGTCAACAGGGTCACTGGTCCCCCTTAAAGCACCATCCAATTCAATGCTTTTATTATAATATTTGCAACATTGCCAAATGCTAAGACAAGTAGAATCCTCTGTTTGCAGAATAAGTTCTTTCGCGCTGTCGGTGCTTCTGAATATTATATATTTTAAAATTTTAGTTGTTCGACTCTTAGTCAAAGATACAATGATCAAAATTTACCCCTTTTAAGAGTTTTAGAGTATAAGATATTTCCTAACAGTCGAGTAGAGATATTCCAACTATTTGAAGTGGAAATTATTTATGGAAAGATGTGCTTTCATTATCTGTGAGGGGGATTGCATCACTTATATGGAACCAGATAGGTCACACATGCAAGGTGATAGGACAAAATTTGTACAAGACGCGCAAGTACTTGTGTTCTACTGCCCAATTCGATTGCCTTACTTTTGTTAAAGATTCCCTCCACTTTCTGTGACGATTCCATTCGACCAACAAAAGAAAGTGAAACCAGCCATCGCCACCAGCAACCCCATTTATCCCTTTAGATGTATACTCTTCACACTATCCCATTACAATATCTGAGTTTCTGGGTCCCATCAAATATCTGTAAAATGTAGATTTTATTAGTGGCATGGTAGTGACCACAATCTTATAGCCACAATGACATCCATATACGAGCCTTTGTAATTTCGTTAATAGTTGAACAATCGCTTATGTGCACATGGACGACTGTCAATAGTATTTTCGCTTCTTATTTTATACGTGTTTGAATGTGATGTGCATATATGTTTTGCCCGTTGGGAATGAGCTTGGGTACGGCAAGCCACAGTAGCTATATTCACAATGAGATTCTTATATGAGCCGTGCTAGGGCATGGGCAAGTCGGTGACTGTCATCCGTTGATAAACGGGTTCTACTTCTGTCAACGGTTGACAGTCACTTATATGTGAGCGTTTCCTTACTTGTATGGATGTTTGAGATGTGTACATGTATCTTTTTTGCAGGTTGGGAATGAGCTTGGGTGTGGGAAGCCATACAAAGCGAAGCTAGCAGCGATGGTGGCATTGGGATGTGCATTTGTGATCGGCATCATCAACGTGACATGGACGGTGATTCTGAGAGAGAGGTGGGCAGGCCTCTTCACCAAGGACGAGCTCGTCAAAGCCTTGGTTGCATCAGTCATGCCAATCATGGGAATTTGCGAGTTAGGCAACTGCCCCCAAACTACTGGCTGTGGCATCCTACGCGGCACGGCACGCCCGGCCGTGGGTGCCCGCATCAATTTAGGGTCGTTCTACTTTGTGGGCACCCCTGTGGCGGTCGGGCTTGCCTTCTGGCTCAAGGTAGGGTTTCCAGGGCTTTGGTTCGGGCTCTTATCTGCTCAGGTGGCATGCGCTGTGTCCATTTTGTATGTTGTGGTGGCGAGGACGGATTGGGAGGCTGAGTCTTTGAACGCCAGGATGCTGACGGGGTTAGAAATGGGTGAGTGCAGAGATAAAAGGCAAGGGCATGAGAAAGATGAAGAAGAAAGCAAAGGGTTGTTGATCAACGGTGGAGATGGTAACAGTAATAGTATAGATGAATTTATTTGACTTTTTATGTGGGATTTGTGTTGACTTTTGTAGTTTTTGTTTGGACAAGTTGGTTTGGTGGGTTGTATAGTTTTGAGGGGCGTGCTTTTGTCCCAATAGGAAAGGGACAGGATCGCTGGCCAGGGTCCAGCCAAGTGTGCCGCATTAGATTGTCAAGAGGAATATTCAGTATGCCCTGCATTTTCGTCCCACTTTAAGAAGGCGTATTTTTGGCTTTGACAATCTAATGCCGCACAATAAAGACTAGTTTTAAACATATTTTTTGTGTTATGTTTATTTGGAAGAGAAGAAATTCTTAAGTCCGGCGGCTAAAACAAGATCTCACATACGATTATAGACACGAAAATAGGGCATCTTATTTTTTCTTTCTTTCCCAACCGATTCCACACTAGTCCTACTTAGTTGTGTGTTATTGCATACAATGGGCGGATTTTGAAAAGCCTTAGCCAAACGTAAAGACATTGTCACTAGACTGTAGTACTAGAGAGTTTAATTAATATATGAATTTATAAGTAGATGAGGTGTGCAAAGGACTTCTGGCCCAGATGGTCAAGAAATAATAGCATTAAAATTTTATGTTACGTAAAATAATTAAGAGCATTTACTCTTGCACCCATGATTCTAAGTTCGGTTCCTTCTACCTCCAGTAGACGAGCCGTATTTTCTTCTATTTTTTCGGTAACAGTATATGAGTCGCATTTTCATAACGAAATGATTTTTTTTCCCCAAGTCATCGCCTTCTTAAATGGCCTTGAAGCATGGAAACAACAGCCGAGGATTTATGAAGGGAAGGAGAATTTGAGACCTGTAAAAAACAACCTGCAAAGTCCTTATAGCTTGCTGTACTTCGCACGCTGGAAGAGTGATCGGTAAACGCACCTGAAAACACGTTAACATGCGGGAACTCCGGTTTTATTCCGAAATACAATTTCGTTATTCAGTGGACCAACTAAGAAGAAAAGAAAGAGCAAAACAAATACTGTTTATTAACTGCATTTCACTTCAATGAAAAATACTATTGACAACAAGCACTTGGGTAACATTGACTACAAATCAGGAAAGTTCCGTTGTCTGTCAAAAATTAGGTCCGACTATCGTGCATTTTTTGGGGTTACAAACTCCGAGTTATCCAGTGCACCAAAAGACTTGTTGCTTCTCGGAAGAAAGGGACACACGATAAGCTGTGAAGCTGGAGTTTGCCCAACTCAGTTGGACTTGTCTAACAGGCCTCAACCACAACTTAAGGCGGTGACGAGAAACAATCTGCATTTTCGACCCCTACCATGACATATTTACTGAGCTAGAATTCATACCTCAAGTACCTTAGACTTCCAAATCAAAGACACGGTTGGAAAGTGGAAAGAGAACTGTCACATGTCTCTCTAAAATATGATTTGCACAGAAAGAAGAAAAAAATATTCAGACATCCTCCAACAAAGACAGCAGAGAAGTGAGTTTCCGGATTGCTGATTCATTCAAGTTTCTTTGAAAACAAAATCCAGCTCAAAGAAGAAACTAGTTGATTGACAATAGAGCAAATTGTGTTCTTTCCTTCACCAAATTGTGTTCTCTTCCAAATTTGGTACTAAGCTACGATAATTTAAGTTACTAATCTTATTCGCAATTACTTTTCGCCAATTTGTTCTACTAAACCATCACACAGTAAAACATTCCAAATGGCCTTTCTACTTATATTGTTTGGCATCAACATGCTTTCGTAGGCTCGCAGCTGTGCTCGTACCTCTCTCTATCCCCCTAAGAATGCTCGCCTGATGGCTTTCTTTTATAAACACGTATTCATGTAGACATCCAAGTGCGAAGTTATACACAATCACAAAATCATTAAGCAGGTAAAGGTAATTATAAATTTCCAACTCATAACAAGGGAAGATCTAGAACTTGAGACAAACCTATCAAAATGTCGTTGCAGAATAATTAGCTGAATCTTCTCTAAGCTCTAGTCTTCTTTTCTTGTAATGACCTCCCCTTGCTTTGAGAGAAATTCGATCTTGCTCTTGAAATCTGATGGATATTATGTCTCAAATGAGTTTGTCTTCCTCTAGCAGTTTCCAAAGTTATGGCATCCCCGCTCTTACCAGAGTGTTGTCGACCAGTCCTGCCTCTTTCAGAGTTTCTTGAAGGTTCTTTCACATCAAATCAGATTTCCTAGCTCTTCTTCTGTCCGACCTTCCTCTTTCAGCATTTCTGGAAGGTGCTGTCACATTAAAAGCAGGGTTCCTAGCTCTTCTTCCATCCGACCTTCCTTCCTCTTTCAGCATTTCTGAAAGGTGCTTTCCCATCGCAATTAGATTTCCTAGCTCTTTGTCCTCTATTATTGATAGCATTTTGTTCAACGCTTGTCTCACTCTGATCTTCATCGTCTTCATCACTATCATTGTCGACATCATCATACTCAACTTCATCATCGGATGAATCACACAACTCCCCTTCCTGCTGGTCCTCAGTTTCATCATCCTCTTCTTCTTCGTCGTCTCGCTTAACATGACTTACCTTCTTGTTGAGTACTTTTACCTGGCATGCTGATCGTTTTACTATCTTCCTTTAACGTGTTCATAAGGTGAATATACTGGCTTCTCATATTCGTTACTGGATGATCTTATGTGATACCACGTCCCTAATTTTACGTATTTTGTAATATTGAAGGTGTGAAATTACCAAATTGTCCTTGTGGCATGAACGTTGACCATCTTGTCATGACGCCTATTACTAATTTTATTAGTTTAGTCTTATTGTACTCATTGCCACGAACACGTGAGTGCAAACAGATTCGAATTTGAAACTATAACGAATATTTTATGTTATGAAACGTCGAACGTTTTTCGAATATTTCACGTTTCATCTTTTGTGACCTTGTTTTGTGAGCTACTAGGGCCCACATGTTCCTTGTTCCCAGACCCATCCCCGTGACCCTTTCTCCCCTCTTCGCTATATTATTTTTTGAAAAATATCTCTCTCTAATTCTCACATCTCTCTTCACTCTCTACCTCTCTACCTCTCGGTCTCTCTCAAACCAGCCCTCCCTAAGGGCATCACAAGCACAAACAACAACCATGGCTACACCATTATCTTCCCTTGTAGTTCCTATGAGTTCTTGGATCAGAAAAGAAGAGAAAAATCATTTGAAAACCCCCTCCTTGAGCTACACTGTACTAGGACCTTCTTCAGCGAATTCTCGCCATTCTTGGTGAAAGTAAGCCTCAAAATTGGTCCATACCATTATAGATCATGTCTAGGTTCATGATTAGTAAGTTTTCGGGTGGTTTTGGTGGTGTAGGAACATGGAAAAACTAAAAGAAAGTCACTGTGCAAATCTGGAATTTTCCAAACCGTGGTCATATGGCCATTTTCTAGCCATTTTTCTGGCCACCACTCGGTCCCAACTTGAATCTTTTCTCCACATTCCTAACTACATTTTGGCTTTTGAATCACTCTATTTGGACATGTATCGAGCTAGGAATGGGCTCTTGAAGTTGGAGGAAAATCTGGGAAATTTCCAAAAATTCGAATGAGGCGAGTAGCCTCTATTCACGGGCACGTGGGGCTATGCGTGGTGTAGTAGTGGTCGGCACATGCGCCTCCCCGAAGGTAATATACTCTGCCACCATCCCCCCTTAGGTTTTTCGACGTATTGAATCCGATTACGACATCCATTTTTTCAAATTCAATCGTTTTAGTAAAGTTTTATTAATTAGTCCCTTTATGTGCTTAGGTGCACTTGTTAGTGGCGTTTCCGTCCTCCCTAGTTTGAACGGCTCTTTGGCTATAGAGTATCTGTCAGTGGACTCCTTCCAAAATGAATGATTTAATTACTAGAAAGGCATACATAGAAAGCATGATTTTATGACTACGCTTTATGAAACGTCTAATGAGTTATTGGATTTACACATTACGAAATATCATACTTTATCAAATTTACGTTATTGAGATATTTATGAATATGATTTATGATATGATGTTTAAGCTATCAGCTCCTATAAGATAAATTTTGGAAAGATTATGTTTATGATTTTTTGTGCTTATTTAGTCAATATTCATTTATATATGCCTTCGGATGGGTGATGTAGGGCCTTCGGGTGGAAGATTTATATATGCCTTCGAACGGGCAATACAGGGCCTTTGGGCAGAAGATTTGTATATGCCTTTAGACGGGCGATGTAGGGCCTTCGGGTGGAAGATTTATATTTGCCTTCAGGCGGTGATGTAGGGCCTTCGGGCGATTGTGATACCACTACTAAGCACACTATAAATAAACTTGGTCCACTCATGGTTTGATTTGCACCCCCTTAGGAACTAGGAATGATGCATACGACTCGACCTACGAGGCATTCCCATATCAGTGAATTTGTGTACTTCTCTCTGCGTAGGATATCTCTATAATCGCACTTTCTAATATTCATTCTGCTTGTATTTAAAATTAATAATATGCTCTGAACATGTCATGCATTATCACTTTTAAATTGTTGGCAGTTGAATATTATATTTTATTAAGGTTTGTACTTGAATACTATATTGCGTTGTTACGCGCGAAAATTATATGCATGTTTTACATGTTCTCGGCATATGCATTCATCAAATGACATGCATCACTCTCGGGTGTCGGCTAGTACGTGGCCATCATGTTGTCCTTCGAACACCAAGATCGGGGGCGTGGCAGATTTGTATCAGAGCATACTCAGGACTTCATTCTTTCCACTTGGTAGTCATAATCCTTCATGCAACCACAATCTTTCGTCTTTCTAAATCTTGTTTGCCTCTTATCAGAATCATGGATACTTGTGGTAGGAATGTGCCTCGTACTGGTTTGATGGGTGGAATTCAGCAATTGACCTTCGATCTGTGATATGCTTTCCCTAGGAATAGCAGGCAGAGTCGTACTTACATGGAGATTGCTCATAGCCAGTGTTACTGAGATGAATGTAGTTTGTGTTTATGAGGAGGTCGATGATTGGCTTGAGAAGATGAAGGACACTTTGGAAGGTATGTTTTGCCCAGTGGTTGAGTGACGAAAGACTACAGACTACTTTCTTCAGGGTAATGCGAGATTTTGGTGGAAATCAGTAAAGGACTCTCGGCCACTTAACTCGATGATGACTTGGGCTACTTTCAGGAGACTCTTTAGTAAACACTTTTTGAGCCCCGAATACTAGTTAAGAAAGAGATAGGAATTCTTGAGTTTTCGCCAGGGCAACTTATCGATTACGGAGCTGGATATACTTTTCAACGATTGCGAGACACCA